AAGGGTAGTGGGGAACTTCACCTCAAGCCCCTTACCAATGCCCAATGGCCAGGGTGCGTGCCAGTCTCTGCCCATGGAGGAGTTTCCTCCCAGATGTGTCTAGACCCGGGGTTTTCTGACCTGAGGCCCAAAGCTGACGCCACAGCCTCCCGGGCGAGGTCCCACTCCTGGCTGTGTAGCACTTGGTGTGACGGGGCTGCTGCTAGTCCCAAAGCCACCTGGGAGGACTGTGGGGGGGGGGACGGGGGACGCGAGGTTTTCAGGAGGCCATGTGGTCCTCCCGGAGGGGAATTCTGGTTGGTAGACTCGGCCACACACTCTGAGGGACGGTAGAGGAGTGATGTCTTAAGGAGTGAGGCGGAGAGCTGTTCTCTCCTGCTCTGAGGCCCTTGGTGAAGGAGTGTCCTGCCCTATGTCTCAGCTACATCGACTCGCAAAGCCGCCGTTAAGCAAGGAGGCCCAGGTCCGTCCTGCTGGACTAGCAAGGGGTCAGTTATGTAGGCCTTTCGTAAAGCAAAGGCCATGTAAGGACAAGTTTACCTCGCCCGAGAACCTCAGCACAGAATACAAATAACTGCCTGTTCCTCCTCCTGTCCCAATACCACGTGCACGGACGGACGGACAGCTGCTGTGACACTTCTGTGCTTGTCAGGGGTTCCCAGGGCGCAACTGCAGGGTCAGTTTTGTGTCCCCCACTTTTGCTTCCTTAGCATTTTGTGCGTGTAGAGGTCTGTGGGAAACTGGATCCCAAAGGTTATCTAAGCGTAACTTTTTAGAGCTGTCTTGGTTGTGGAAAGGGGCTATTTCCTGAGAAATATTATAGTATGTGTGAATATTTAGCTCAACTTTTTAAAGGTAAATTTTTAAGCAAATATCAGACTTTTTCCCGTTAGAGTGTTTGGCTAGAGTGGAATTTAAATAAACAGGCACATTTCCGAGGGTCCCTCACACAGCACGGCGCGGGCCCCTGGCACGCACTGCGGGCCTTCAATAAATTCATATGGACGTCCATCCGCGCTGGGGAACCCTTGCTGTGGGTACAAGCAAATGGAGAACCTATTTGGGGAAGTGGTTCTTAGTCTTTAGCTCCACTAATGCTAGTATATATGCAGAATAAAAGACGGCCTTTATATGTCCAATGTAAAAAGATCTTTATCCAATAACTTGTAAAACTAGAGGAAAACACCTAGAAAAGTACTTTTCCACCTTTCAACTGGAAGATAACAAAGCTAATGAGAACTTCATGGGTTAGGATCTTCTCTTGGTTTGTGGGTACTGCTGGTAGCTAAGTTGAGTTTTCTTTTAAATACTAAAAATGATTTCACAGACTCCAAGATGGATGCTTAAGCCTGGCTGATGTGGGTCAGTGGTGAGCGTAAACCCATGACCTGAGGTCACTGGTTTGATTCCCGCTCAGAGCACATGCCCGGGTTGTGGGCTTGATCCCCAGGAGGGGCGTGCAGGAGGCAGCCGATCAATGTGATGCTTCGGTCTCATCGATGTTTCTCTCTCTCCCTCTCCTGCCTCTAAAATCAGTAAAACATATTAAAGGAAAAGAACCCAATGCATGCTTAGAACTGGAGCAGTGTGGCCGTTGGGGTTCAGGAGACTCCAGGTGCATATGATGGGACAGTGTCGTGGTAAGAAGGTATGGAGATGCCTGTCTTTCAATGGTCTGATTCGGGACCAACGTCCCTTTCCCAGGGGGACTTCCCTGGCCACCCCTACACTAAAGCAGCCTCCCCCCACGTCCCATTGCCCTTTTCCTCAGCACTACCCGACCTGAATGCTTTCTGTTCTGTACTCACGCACATGCTTACTGAAGGGTGAAACCTTTACAGTCACTGCTAAGGCAGCAGTCTTAACGCCCACCTCTCAGAATGTTGGGGTTGGGACACACCTTTCTGCGCCTGAGGGAAGCGAACTAGGTAGGTATTAACAAGGCCCTTGAGTGAATTATTGATAAAGCTAAGCAGGGTTCGCTCCGAGTGTGGCTACGGTAGAAAGAGCCAAGGCAGTTCCTTCCTTTGCGGGCCTTGCCCCGTGCACACCCGCCCCCACTGTGTCCTGCTGTCCCAGGCGCCTGTTACAACTGTGCTTGAAGCAACTTGGCTGCCTCCAGGACCCAAGGGCCGAGGCTGGTGGTTTAGCAAACAGCCAGCTATGGAGGTCTGCAGGGCTAACTGTGAACACCGCCACCTGAATGAGCGGACCGGGGCTAATGGTGTTGGAGGGCAGACCTGGCATTATTTCCAGGTACAGCAGAGGATGGTTTCCGCTGCACATTTTGCTGAGGGGGTTACCCTTGCATCCTGTTAAAATGGTAAAACCACCGTTTTCGCCCCACCACTTCCATACGGAATTAAGTTGAAGGAAACAAAACACATGGTCATCATTTGTCAAGTTTTCCAGGGCAGTGGGCTTTGTGGAGGTGAGAAGTCACTGTCAGCTCGCTGAGATCCTCCATGATCCTAAGGCACAGTTTATGTCAATCTTCCTGAAGGTGATTAGATGCACAGTGGGGGGGGGGGGGGGCCTGGGCAGGTGCCACAACCTAAGGTCCAAGGCTGGTCAGGAGCCCCACACAAGTGATACTGGAGCAAGAATGTGCGGACTGAAGATACTACCCACTTGAAAAGGTAACAGTAAACTGACCCCCGAGGGGGAAAGGCCTCTTAAACTGCCCCCAAATCAAAGGGGGCGCCACCTCTGGGAGATGTCCGTGTGGGCACATACGTGTGCACATAACCCCAAGTGCTGCTCCTAGAATGGCGCCTGGACATTGCGATCGCTATTTCCTAACGGTTTTTCACTCTGATTTCTATATGAAATTGTGCCTGAGCGCGGAACTTCAGACCCAGACAATCTGTTGGGGGATTTATGGAGTAAAACAGGATTTATCTCAGCCCAGCTTTTGCCAGGGAAGGCTTTGCACCAGCCTGTACTGATGCCCTTGGTGGGACTCCACTCGATGTCCTCAGCAGTGACCCCAAACATTACTGAGGACCAGGGGCCATTTCCGGCCAAACACTACACCTATGGCTGGACGGCCAAGGATGGGGCACCAACTATAGTGAGTCTTTGGTTGCTTTTTCTTTTAAACCCATATTTTGTCCATTTAAAGCTGTAGCAGCAGGAGAGAAAGAGGAAGCATTTCCCAAAATCTCTAGCAAGGGTTTGCTACTTGGTAGAGGTCAGGTTATGATGGATGGACTGTCATGAATGTTGATGTACAGGTCTTGGGACCTGCAGTACAACACTCTGAGGACTGAAAAGCTAGCTGTGGCCCTTGGCCTCCCCAGGTCCCGGCTGGGCCCCTTCCAGGACAGAGAGGAGAAAGGCAGGGGCTGGTGGAGGAGGCGGCAGCCTCTTCAGGGACAGTGGGGAGGGAGCCTGGTGTTACCTGCCTGCAGCTGACCACCTCCTGGTTAGTGTTTCCTGGAGGCCCGTGAGGACCTGGCTGGGCCTTTGCCGCTTCGGGCACCTCCCATCTGCCCAGCCTAAGAGATGTGCCTGGAACTCAGGCTGAGACCGAATTCTCTAAAAACTGCTCTATCTCTGCACTCGGAGTCCGCACTATAGCTTATTTCTGACAGAATGAGTTTTGTCTGAAAGAAACTTAAGTTCAAGTTGTATGTTTCTGTGTATTCGTTTCTACGGCCTAACCCAGCCCCAGGCCAGCCAGGTCTTCCCTGGTTCACTGAAAGCACAGGGCAGAGCCGGGAAAGGCAGCACGAGGCCACTGCACGCACCCCACGGGGCTGAGGAAAGGACTGACCTGGGCTGAGCCCACAGGTGTTCGATGCATAAACTAGGGGGCAAATCCAATGGCCAAGACAAACCATAGAGCTAATTTTCTATTATTATTGCTCTTTTCCAGGCCTTGCTGTGAGACTTGGGGTTTGTCCATGGGGGCAGGTGTCTCCATGCTCCTGTTCGGAGGAGCAGGGACTGGACACGCCAGCACTGCGTTCCTGGCGGCATCTTTGGCTATGAAACAACACACCAGCTACTGCACAACCAGAACCCCAACCATTCGGAGAGTTCACTACTTTTCGAAATGCGACATCAGGTGAGTCTGAAACGCAGTTTACCCAGGAATAACTCAGTAAGGCCATTTTGATTAAGGAAAATGTATAAAAGGTGACATGGACAGGAAAACAGTGCTATCATACTCGGGAAATGACACTTGGTTCATTTTCATCAACTGCACACTGGGTGAAATCACACAATTACTACAGGGAACTGTAAGCAAGCAATCTGGTCAGAGGGATGTGTTCCTTTGTCTTAAATGAAAGCGCTGTATGAAATGCATCGCTCTGATTAAAATGATACTTTCCTTCTCTGTGAAACCCCAGATTTAGAACGCTGGCAAAGGCAGTGCTGGCAAAGTATTTAATGCACGTGGAAAGGCTATTCTACTTTGGCTTCCAGAAGTAGCCCTAAAAAATTCTATGCACCAAATGCATTGGCTAATAGTGACCATTTCCATTTTACTATAAATTATTCTAAATGTCACTTAAGTACTTAAGAGTTAGCGCGCTCCTTTCTAGAAGCTGTCTAAGGCAGCTGATGCGTAAAGCACCTCAACAAGGCTTTCAGCTAGCTCCGCAGTGCAGCTTGTGCACAGGCCCACCGAGCACCCACCGGAGCTTGTCACGCCCATTCGTGCCTCCCAAGGAGAGAAGCAATCCTGGTTCTAAGGAGGGTCACGTGGGTGGGGGGAACAGAGAGGTCCCACCTGCGGAAGGTAAATGAGCTTTGTTCATGCAGCCCAGTTCTCCCAGGACTGTCCCCTCAGAAAGCTCGCTCTGTCTGAGAGGTGACCTACTACCCTACTGTCAGTTCTCATTCACAGACGGTAACATTCATCTCAAGCGTGTCAGCCTGCGTGTAATTCGCAGATTGTGTTTCCCTAGTTTCCACTGGACACACAGTGCAAACAGAAGCAAGGACTGAAGCAATCATTTCAAAAACAAGAGCTCACACTAAAACACACATGAGCATCAATAGGAAAACGTGGGTTTCGTCCTGTCTTTATTCTGGGGAGGAGGAGTCCTCCTCCTCTTCCTCCTCGTCGTCGTCGTTGAGCGAGCAGGGCGTCTCGCCGCGGGACTCGGAGCAGTGAGAGGCCGCGCTGCTGGACTGGTGACTGTTTGGGGCAAGGATCTGCCCCGTTGCTAAGGCCACTTCAGCATCCAAGCAGAACCCCTGGGTTACGCTAGCAAACAATTCAAACACAGGCTCATTAACGCGGCGAACGTTTTCCGCTTCGTAACACACAGGAATGGGGCAGGGGAAAGGAGCCACGGAGGGCTCTGCCAGGGCCTGGGCAGGGGCATGCTGCGCTCCGAGAGGGGCCTTTTGAACCTGGAAACATACGTACCTTGATTGGGATAAGGTGGCACCAGTGGTCAGGTCTAAACTTGAAACTGACTGGGCAGAGTTCAAAAGCAGCCCCTGGTTTAACCATGACGGTCCTGTGGAGATATCTACGGGGAAAACAAAGACAGAAGGGGTGGGTCCCGCAGTCCTGTGGCTGCTATTGTTCCCGTGGGAAGACAGCGGACGAGTGAGGGCATCAGCCTGTTCTAATCATAGCCACACAAGTCTCCTGCCCTGGGGAGAAGCCAGATTTCTTCAGCAGAAAAAAGACATTTCTAAATCATAAGGGGGAGTGGGGGAGAGACAGGAAGGCTGACTACAGCAAGAAAAAATTCAAATTCAACCAACTGTGGGCTCTCGTTCTCTTTCCTCAAGACCCCAAGAGGCAGCACTCACTGGACTACCATGGACGCCTGCTGTCCTCGCCATGGAAGACTCGGGACCCTGACGGTGGAAACAGCCAAAGCCAGCAGTGGGTAAAGAGAGAGTCACATCGGAAATGTCTCAGGTACGAAGGACAGACACATTTTTGCCAAAACCCCCACTGAATCCATCTTTTCAAGTGCCCCCCTGGGGAACGCAGTGCTACTAGTCATCCAAGACCTATTCTTTCTCCTGGTACCTTTTGCTTAAAACTCAAACTAGCTCTTATTGTGAAAGGCCACGAGCAGTCATGCTTTTAGTGAGGGTGACACAGGCAATGCTTTTTCAGTCTGCATAAATATTCTGGGTCTGTCCTTTCAATGTTGTGTTCTACACATACATCTTAGTTCTCCTATCATAACCTTGACCAATTCTGACTATAGTTTCACTTGTTTAATGCTTACCTCCTTATCTAGGATGTCAGCTCAGAGAAGACAGTGACAGGAACATGTAAGATCTAAATGTTAATGAATGAATGATACAGTCTCTTCCAATAGTGAGTTTACAAAGAAGGTGATGTGCAGATTAGAAATACAATTCTAAGAGAAATTCTTAGAATTACATTATAAGATCGAATGTACACTCAGAAAAATGTAATTTACCAAAATGAAAGCTTATTATATTTAATCAAAATAATTTTATAATTACTGCGCAAAAAGCAGAAAGCTCTGTGTTAAGATTGGAAACTGCTATCCAGCATTGTCGGGCCAAGTGAGAGGCATCCTAGGAGGAAGAAGTAAGCGAATCTCTACACTGATTTTAGAATGGCCTTGGGAACCGGTTTCTCACAGGCTAACAAGGCAGCTGTGAAAAAAAGAACTTCAGTTCTAGGAACAGCAGACTTTAAATACATTAAATAACAAGTCTGTACACGATAACATTAAAGCCAGAATCCTGATCCAAATAGTAATTAGCATACATGGAAACTTCGTCAGAGCTCAGCTAGTTGCATAACACAGGACACTTTCTCTTCACAACAGCTCTGAAAGCCTGTTTCGTTCACATTATCCTAGAAACCACACAGTGGTTCTCACCATCGTACTCCAGAGCCCTCTGTCCTTTGCACTAAAGGCACACGTTTGTTCTTTTGAACTAACCAAAAGTCTGTGCCCCAGGCTGCCAATGAGGTCACCAAGAGATAAAAGCCAGAGAGCCTGCCTAATCGCTGAGCTTTTACAATGAGAATGGACTGAAGTAAAGTTGTGGTGAGTTACTGAAAAGCTGCTGGGCTGCCAATAAAACAGCCAGTCCTGTCCTAGGAGAGAGCAGGGGGAGATACTGGCTGAGGGGCAATAAGATGGGGTCTCATGAGTGGGTGATGCCAATTTAAGAACTAAATCCAACAGACACTTGTGTTGTGACCAAAGAGCCAAAACCACAAAACAAAACAAATAAAAACTACTTTGCTTATATCTGATTTAATATACCTTAGCACTTACTAACATGCCTTTAAAAACTGATGTGCAATTCTAGGAGGTAATACAATGAAGGGAACTGCCCAAAGCAAAGGCAGAAGCACTGTTTGCTACATCCAAATTCTAGGTGCAGAACATACCATAATCTTAGTAAGTTAGGACAATCATAAAGATGTCAGAATTAGTGAAACAAAATCTGAATTATATAACATGCAAAACAGTGGTTTTTAGTATATTCAAGCATACTTTTATAGTTCATAATAAAAATGATAAAGAATCCAATTTAAAAAACGAGCAAAGGATCTGAATAGACATTCTCCAAGGAAGATTTATGAATGGCCAATAAGCACATGAAAAGATGCTCACATCATTAGTCACTAGGGAAATGCAAATCAAATTGACAGTGAGATACCACATCTATTAGGATGGCTGTAATAAAAAGGTGGCCAACAAGTGTTTAGAAGGGTGTGGACAAACAAACTCGCATACATTGCTGGTAGAACTGTAAAATGGTACAACTGCTTTGGAAAATAGTATGGCAGTTCCTCAAAATGTTAAAGTAGGAAAGGGTTCAGAATCAAGGGCGAGCATACAGTGGACTTGAACTAATTTTCTATGAGAAAAGGAGAAAGGTTTTAACATGTTAGGGTTTGATATATTTAATCAGGGACAACATGTGAAAGGATCCGTTAACATACCTGTGATATAACCTTCTAACGCCTTTGGCACCAGGGATTTAGCACGTTTCAGATCCTCCAGAGAACATTTGCCTGACTCCAGGCCAAAGGACATTCCCATCCGCTTCAGTACTTCGATGTCATCATGGATCTCAAAGGTGTTGTCAAAATTGAAAAGATATTCAAACCTGCACCAGGAAACAAAGTTGGTACAGGGCTTCCGTGGTGTTGGAGAGGTCTGAGGAGTTTTATACTCTGTATATTACATAAAAGAATGAGGGCCTAAGTTCAGCTACAGCACTAGAAATTATCGATGTTTATAGCAATAAGGGTCATTCTGCTGTATTCAGGAGATGACATCTCAAATACACCACTTTCCCAAGTAACATGTTAAGCGCCCAGCCTGTTTGGTCTCCGGACGGAAAGTATAGTGTCAGTCACCGGTGACTGACAAGGCGCTTAACGTGTCTAACTTTCCTGTGACAGACAAAAGAGGTCCATAAACTTTAGCCCTCATTAAGCTATTGCAAATTGGAGGCAGAAATACTGGTCTAAATCCAATACTTTTCTTTCCTTTTTTTTTGTTAATCCTCAAGAGTATATTTTTTCCATTGCCTTTCAAGAGAGAGAGAAAAACAAGGTAAAAGAGACACATGGATTGGTTGCCTCTTGAATGAGCCCTAATTGGGGGTGGGGGGGGTGGGGGACGGGACCACAAGAACCCACAACCCACGTATGTGCCCTGGACCGGGAATTGAACCTGAGACCCTTCAGTGTGCGGGCTGGCGCTCTAACCACTTGGCAACACCGGCCAGGGTTAGTTTGGTCAATTTAATGCTCATGGTGGGAGAGCTGCCTGGCTAAGTAAGGGGAAAAGATTGCATCACCAAAGTAAGTGAAAGAAAGGCTGTAGGACCTGCCTTGAACAACAAACTGCTGCAAGCTTCTTAGAGTCTCCTCCCTCCAGGGAAGAGCATTGAGTCAGTTACCACCCAAGAATGGAACCCTTACTAGACCCCAGCCAGGGATGAACAGAAGCCATAATGCCCTTAGGCCAATGACTCCCTGCAATTCCTTTATGAAAGCATTTAACATGTTTAAATTGCCTGCTTTGAGTCCAAGCCTTAGGCATTATCTCATTTAATCCTCACCACAGGGCTAGGAAGTGACGGAGGTCCTGGTATCATCCCCATTTGTTTTCCGGAAAACGGAGCTCTGGAGCAGTTAAACGGGGGAGCCGTCATCCACACCTGGGTCTGTCTCACTCCACCCCATGCCCTCAACTGTCTCATGATACTGATCACAGCCTGAAGACCAACGAATTAACTATTTTTATGAAGGTAAAATAAATCTCACATTAATTCTATATTATTGATGGATGGATAAAGAAAATGTATAGATACAATAAAATATTCAGCCACAAAAAAAGAGAAGGAAACGCTGCCATTTGTGACAACGTGGATGGACTCTGAGGGCATTATGCTAAGTGAAATAATTCAGAGAAAGACAAATACTGAATGATCTCACTTAATGTGGAACTTAAAAATTGAATTCATAGATACAGAGAATTGATTGGGGGAGGGGGAGGGCAAAATATATGAAGGTGGTCAAAAATATTAACTTTCAATTATAAGATTAAAAAACAAAGCAGAGCCCTAACCGGTTTGGCTCAGTGGACAGAGTGTCGGCCTGCGGACTGAAGGGTCCCAGGTTCGATTCCGGTCAAGGGCATGTACCTTGGTTGTAGGTGCATCCCCAGTAGGGGGTGTGCAGGAGGCAGCTGATCGATGTTTCTCTCTCATCGATGTTTCTAACTCTCTATCGCTCTACCTTCCTCTCTGTAAAAAAATCAATAAAATATATTTTTTTAAAAAAACAACAAAAAAAACAAAGCAGAGATTGCACCTAGCATTTTCATGTCTATTCATCCATTAATAAACAGAAGCCCACTCAACTAAGCGATAGTAAAACAAAGAGGTAATTGCTTTTATGCCTCATGTTGATCTAAAATGTTTCCACAATAAACTATGACAGTGAATCACCAGTGAGCCTACCTGTGTCAGACCCTCACTGATGGTCTACCTCGCTGCAGTTCTTGCCCACAATTATGCCACATGCACGTACATACGTGTACATCCTGGCCTGGGTCCAGGCACCACCCTGCACATGACTGGGGGCTGTGGAGGGCGAGTGATGGAGCACAGGCCAGAAGCTGACAGCTCTCCATGTATGAAAAGGTGTTTCACACGCCCCAAGGAAGTCAGCCTTGGAGGACTCAGAGAATGGAGTACACCCCTCTTATTTTGGCAAATGACAGGACTGCGTGAAGAGAAGGCCGCCCTGCAACCTGCCCCCATTCTGTACTCACTTGTCACTGGAGATACTGCAGTCTATGACTGTTTTCCTGCTCGTGTTGATGATTATAAACGGCAGCTGAATGGTGGAGTTCAGAGCTGGCGGGCCCTGGTTCTGCTGTTCATTTTGCCGATTTCTCTGTACCAGGTTTTTGAAAGCGATTTGCTGTAATGATCGATAAAAAAAATAGTCATTTAATATGGATAAGTGAGTTGGAATTAAATGAATAGAGTTTAAAGAGACCTTTCACCTGTAGTGAATTAGACATTTAGAAAAAAGATTAGAAAAATCCAACTCAATAAATATATTTCAAGGGAAAAAATATACATTTAAATGGTGTCTAACATCATCATAATGTAAATAATGGGGCCCATGGTTTGTTACCCATAGAAATGGGACCTTACAAATCTGAGAGCCAGGGGCACCTGCAGCTCCTCGAGAGAGTGATTCAGGGAAAATGACACCGAGGGAGCTTGCTTTCCACTCACCCGCCACAGACGCCCATGAGTTCAGGGTTGAATACATCGCTTACTCTAGCCCAGTGATATGCAAAGAGGCAGTGGCATTAGGCATAACTCACCTGTGCTATGTGATGTCAGTGCGCTGACATTAACTGTTAAAAAGAATTAAGCGAACTAGGCTATGGCAAATTATTATTGTTCAGGGACTTAATTTTCTTTCTAAGACAACTTCATCCCTGTTATTTGATGAAGGAAAGAACAAAATGCTAGGAGGAAATAAGGTATGAAAAAGCAAAAAGTGCCTGTTTCTTGCTGTACTTTGGGTTTCATTTCAATAGAGAGAACTGCTTTTATAAATGTTTACAGCTAGGGTGCTCCAGGTTGAAATCTTCTATAAGTATTTGGTTTGAGAGACCACAGAGGGGGAAAAAATTTAGGACCTAAAATACACATAATGAGAGCTATCTTGGCTAGCAACATTCTTTCTGATAAACACATAATTACAAGTCTATTGAGAAACAGATTTTAAATATAACATATGCCGAAAATCCAGCTCCAAAGTGTTCCATGACACTCTGAGGAAACCTGAGGAAGGCTCAGCACGGAGCTTAGGGACCATGAGTTGACAGGGAACTCCTGCAGCTAACTGTGCAGGGACGGGGACTGAGAGAGGGAGCGAGGGGAAGCAGGTGCAGGGCAGGAGCTAAGACGAGAGGGCCCGGCTGGCCAGGTCTACAAGAAGGCAGGATGCTGCAGGGAGCAGCTGCAGGAAAAGGAATCAAGGATCAGCTTTTTTAAAGCTGCAACAGTCTCTTCAAACAAAATCTTATTTGGACATCCACTATGAAAAACATAAAATACGGCCTCCAGCGGTAGGTTCTATGGGGCTCACTCAGTGTGAAAAGCGGACACAGAACACAGAAAAGAAGAAAAGGCCCAGTGTCCGGGCTCCCTGTTCCACCTGCTGCCACTCCCCTGCCCTGGCCCTGCTTCCCGCTCAGATCAGCACAGACCCTCCGATTTATTCACGAATGTGAGAGAAAAACACAAACATAAGCATCTAGAAAGTTTAACACAAAAACCTGGACTATTCAGGAGTACTTAACATTCTATCCTTCAGACAAAGTGACTACTTTAGGGGGAAAACCTGGTAACTCCTTGGTATCTTTATTTCTGAAAAGTAAATTTCACCAAAAATTAAAAGACTTATAGTTGTTCAAATCAAAGTTGATTTTAGGATTGGTTGAAAGCTGTTCAAATAAAGAAAATTGCAGATAAAAGCAAAGGCATAAAGGCATGCATTCCCTCCTAGGAACACGCCTGTGCCATTCCTTCCCCCTCTCCTTCCCCTACAGCAGCGGTTCTCAACCTGTGGATCACGACCCTTTGGCGGTCGAACGACCCTTTCACAGGGGTCGCCTAAGACCATCCTGCATATCAGATATTTACATTACGATTCATAACAGTAGCAACATTACAGTTATGAAGTAGCAACGAAAATAATTTTATGGTTGGGTCACAACATGAGGAACTGTATTTAAAGGGCCAGAAGGTTGAGAACCACAGGCACGTGTATCTCCTCAACCCCTACACGAGGTTTGCAATCAGTGGAACAACGGGCAGTGGCAGCTCGTCCCAGGCTAACCCCATAAACCTGTGCCCAAGGCCCCATTTTCTCTGACTTCCCAGTGAGCCAAAGCAGCCTAGCTGAGGCTCTCCTATTGCTTCTTCCATGCCCTTCCTGGATTCAGTCCTAAGTGTGTTTTTGCTGTGGCTAATAAATTCTTGCTTGCTTTGCTGCAATGAAAAACAGCAAAGGCATAAAGATTCCCTGACTCATTTTACAAGTTTTGGGCTGGATTGAATATAGTTCCACTGTATGGCTCAAAGTGAATTTTTGTACCAACTGCAATTACCAAAAATAGAAAAAACAAGCTATCTACCTTGTGATTTCACCTCCCATAACTTCATACAAAGGCTCTCTATTATATTTTTTAAAATCATCCAAATTCTAGGCAATTATTCAAAAACATATAGAGAGATCCTTATTACACTATAAATTTTAATTTTCTTTTAAACATAAATGCATTTTAAGGTTAGGTATTTTTACAAAGCTTATTGAGTATTGCATGTTATTCTGTTACTTACAGATAATGAGTATTACAGGTGGATTTAATTATTTTACTCAATGTGCCCAAAATTTAACTAGCTTTACTTCTTAGTATTCCACATTAGGACTAAAACACACACACACACACACACACACACACACTCCGAATAGTTTCTGTTCAGAGTAAAGATAAGTGTCAAAGTAAACTGTTGTATAAAATGTCACCCACAGGGCAGGTGAGGGCTGTGGGGCCCTGATGATGGTGAGAGACGGAACCAGCTTAGAGACAGACCATGGATGGCAGTGGGCTCGCCTGTGGGAGGCTGCCCGACTGTGGTCCCAGACACTCCCTCAAAGGCACCCAGAGTAGGAAACAAGCAAGTAAGCGGAGAAGCAGACACAGGCAGGGCAGGTACGAAAGGCATCCCAGCATCTTTACCTGCAGGAGAAGCTCTTGCAGCTGGGCCCGCTTCTGCTTTATCCGTTCTATCCGCCTCTGCTTCTCTATCTTTGAAACACAGGTCACAAAATAACATGAAGATGTGTAGGGTATAAAGCATTGCTCATTTTCAGGTCCCAATTCTGAGATATCAAGAATTTTCTTTAGAGAGATGCAAACCAACATCAATAAAGGCAAGCCACACCTCTTTGCGGGTAGGGGTTGGGGTAAGCGAGCAGACAGTTCAGCAGAATTGCAGCAGCTGCTATCAGTAATGAAACCGTCTGCTTAAGGAATGCCTGGTGTGCAGGACTCATTGCTATTTACCACTTAAGTTCAACAGTGAGAGCTAACACTCAGGACACTTACTCTATGTGCCAGCACCCAGCTCAGCACTCCCCACACATTACCTCAGTTCCTCTTCTCAAGGCCCTATGTATGTCCTTATCCACTCGCATGTAAGGAAATGGAGGCACAGAGGGTTAAGTAACTGCCCAAGGGCACACTGCTTAGTGCTTGGCAAGAACCCCAGCCATCTGGTTCCAGAGACCCTAATATTAACTGCTTTGCTATATTATGCTCACCCTCCCCACCCACCAAGAATGAGGTAAGATCTCAGTCTGACTTTTATTTTTACTTTCAATTAATTGATTTGCTTTTTTAAAAAAAAAACTCACATGGCTGATTGCCGGCTCAAAGAATACACATATAGTCCTCTCCAAAAATGTTTTACCAATTTGCACTCTCATTAGTAACAGTATTTCCCAATAACCTGGTCAGTACTAACACTCATTCCATACTGGCCCTGGTCACATAGAAGTTAATTTTTAATCCTATTGTATCTTGTATCATTTCCTGTTTCTCATGTGTAAATATCACTTTCCTGATAAGAGAAATTATGTCAGATTTCTCTCTCTCCTTTTCCTTCTTTCTCCTTCCTTCCTTTTCTTCTTTTATTTTAGTTTATTATTGACGTAAAATTGGTATACTGTATTTTAATTGACTTAAATAAGCACAGCTGGCCTGAGCCAATTTGGCTCAGTGGATAGAGCGTTGACCTGTGGACTCAAGGGTCCCAGGTTCTATTCTGGTCCAGGGCACAGGCCCAGGTTGTGGGCTCGATCCCCAGTAGGGAGCATGCAGGAGGCAGCCAATCAATGATTCTCTCTCATCGTTGATGTTCTATCTCTCTCTCCCTCTCCCTTACTCTCTAAAATAAAAAATGTATTAAAAAAAAAAGCACAGCTGCTAATACAGGTAGCTTATATATATTCAATATACAATTCAATTCCTGTCTGTAGTAAGAAGCATGCTAATGGGATAAATTTCCTAGCTTCAAAGGACTGTTATTTTCCTCATTCTTACAACTTCCTGGAAAACAGATCTTAGGGTTCGATTTTCCTTGCGATGAGTTCCTGTCTCTTTGGGCAAAAAGTCAATGACATCAAATGAGACATTTTTCTTGTCTACTCCAAAAGAATTATTTATTTATTTTTTTAAGATTTTTTAAAAAAATATATTTTATTGATTTTTTACAGAGAGGGAGGGAGAGGGATAGAGAGTTAGAAACATCGATGAGAGAGAAACATCGACCAGCTGCCTCCTGCACACCTCCTACTGAGTATGTGCCCGCAACCAAGGTATATGCCCTTGACCGGAATCGAACCTGGGACCCTTCAGTCCGCAGGCCGATGCTCTATCCACTGAGCCAAACCGGTTTGGCAAAAGAATTATTTCTTATTTGCTCCCCATCCACTCTAGTCTGTACCAGAAATTTCCTCTCATTATTCCTAACCACTACCACACTTTAATCCTAAATAACTTTAGGCTGACTGTGAAATCAGTGTGGCCTTCAACATTTGAAAAGATGTTGTAGGAGTTCTGCCCTGTACCTGAAGCGTGATAGGTCCCCCCACCTGCCCCTCCTGCACACACAAGTTGTACCAATTCTACCTCTAGAACACTTCTCCAAACTCACTGCCACTGCCGTAATGAATGCAGGCCACCTCCAATCTCCCCTCCTCATCTTCCTGTCTGTCCAACTTCCAACCCTCTAGTAGAGTGATCCTTCAGAATACATCCCATCAGCCCTCCTCTTTTTAATTCTTCAATAGCTTCCCCTAGTTTATAGGACCAGATCCCAACAGCTTAGGACTTTCTCCTTGCCTGTACTCTGGCCACACCCCACTGTGGGCACGCTTTCCGATGCCTGCCTCGGCCCATGCAGGCCTCTTCCTGGAAGGCCCTCCCTGCTTTAAACCACTTGGCAAACTCCTACTCCTCCCTCATGACTGAGCTCAGGGATTTTTTTCTTGTAAAGCCCTCCCTTATCTCCCAGAAAATCTGTCCATACTTCTTTCATAGTAGTAATCACATTTTTGGTAACACTTTTTACATTTCTCCTCTTAATCAGAATGAAAGCTCCTTGGAGTGAGAGATCTTTGTCTTGTACAATCTTTGATTAAGCACATAGCTAGCAGATGCTAATAGATTTTTGTTATCAGCTTAATATTACCAGTAATTACAATGATGCTCAACTTCCACTCTATCAAAAGGAGAAGAGGAGGGCATTTCCACTGCACCATATAAATAAAGTTATAATTTCTGATAAATGTCTGGTTTCTCCCTCCATCCACAACTATACTGATACCAAATCATGAGAAAAACATGAAATCAACCACATTTATCTCCATAAGCTACCTGTCATCTCACTTTATTCCCTTTATGGCCATGACAATAAAAATATGTCAGATTTGGAAACTATGTCAAGGCACATGTTCATTTAGGAAAGATTTCCTATAATGATAAAGTTAACAGAATAAAAAATGTTTTTGTACACATCATGTCAAAATTCATGTTACTGCTACACATTTGATCTATTCTGATAAAGATACGAATGAAATACCATTCTGTTGCCACTGATTCCAGAGTTAAAGGTAAAAGCTTAAACATAAGAAACAAATGGACAGCTTCACCCATATTTTGGGGTCCATTAAGCAAGCATTATATCAAAACTGAGATAGTATTTCTGTTACATGAATCACCAAAATGTTATTGTTAGAGTGCTCAGAATTGAATTAGAGTAAAATAAAGATCTTCTCTAAGAAACAGTAAAAATCAAGCCATCTAATTTCTATGCCCCTCGTTTCATCGGGACACCAGTCAGACTACATATCTCTAAAGTTTCTTCCAGTTCTAAAACTCTATGTAGAAGAATCTATTTTTTAAAAAGACATAGTATACATAATTAGAAATATTTTACTAGTATGTAACCACATTTCTAAATTAAAATGCCTCTGATGTAAAACAAAGCAAACCACTTTGTATAATCAGATTTTCCTTTCTTACCTCCAGGTTTTGACACTCCTGAGCAGAATTGGTAGGCAGGCCAATCCACTTGATTTCTTTTTTTTCTTTTGATATTATGTTCATTGCCATTAGCACATTTAAAGCATCATAAACTCTTCGCCTAATGTTCTTCTGGTCATAAGCCTGCTAAAAAATACATTTATTAAGTGATAAAAGTTAAGAGTTAAGATAAGTCACAGATATTAAAATATTTAATAAACTAGAGGCCCGGTGCACAAAAATTTGTGCACTCGGGGGGGAAGGGGGGGTCCCTCAGCCCGGCCTGTGCCCTCTTGCAGTCTGGGACCCCTCAGGAGATAACGACCTGCTGGCTTAGGCCTGCTCCCGGGTGGCAGAGGGCAGGCCCAATCCCTAGGTGCAGCCCCTGATCGGGCTCAGAGCAGGGCTGATTGGGGAGTTGGGGCGCTGCCCCCTGTCATGCACAGAGCAGGGCAGATCGGGAGGTTGCGATGCCGCCCTCAGTCACGCTCAGGGTAGGGCTGATTGGGGGGTTGGGGCACCGCCCCCTATCACACTCAAGGCAGGGTCGATGGGGAGGTTGAGGGGCCACCCCCTGTGATGCACAGAGCAGGGCCAATCAGGGGGTTGGGGAGCTCCCCCCGTCACGCACAGAGTAGGGCCGGTAGGGGAGTTAGGGCACTGCCCCCTGTCACACACAGAGCAGGGCCCATCAGGGGGGTTGGGGCTCCGTACCCTGTCACGCACAGAGCAGGGCCAATCAGGGGGTTGGGGAGCTCCCCCCTGTCATGCACAGAGCAGGGCCCATCAGGGGGTTGAGGAGCTCCCCCCTGTCACGCACAGAGCAGGGCCAATCAGGGGGTTGGGGAGCTCCCCCCTGTCATGCACAGAGCAGGGCCCATCAGGGGGTTGAGGAGCTCCCCCCTGTCACGCACAGAGCAGGGCCAATCAGGGGGTTGGGGAGCTCCCCCCTGTCATGCACAGAGCAGGGCCCATCAGGGGGTTGAGGAGCTCCCCCCTGTCACGCACAGAGCAGGGCCAATCAGGGGGTTGGGGAGCTCCCCCCTGTCATGCACAGAGCAGGGCCCATCAGGGGGTTGAGGAGCTCCCCCCTGTCACGCACAGAGCAGGGCCAATCAGGGGGTTGGGGAGCTCCCCCCTGTCATGCACAGAGCAGGGCGGATTGGGAGGTTGCGATGCCACCCTCAGTCACGCACAGAGCAGGGCCAATCAGGGGGTTGGGGAGCTCCCCCCTGTCATGCACAGAGCAGGGCCCATCAGGGGGTTGAGGAGCTCCCCCCTGTCACGCACAGAGTAGGGCCGATAGGGGAGTTAGGGCACCGCCCCCTGTCACACACACAGCAGGGCGGATCAGGGGGTAGGGGCACCGCCACTGTCACACTCAGGGCAGGGCCGATGGTGCCTGGCTGCCGGCCGCCATCTTGGCTGACAGTTAATTTGCATAAGGATATGCTGATTAGCCAATGGGAAGGGTAGCTCGTACACCAATTACCATGTTTCTCTTTTATTAGTGTAGATAATCTATAATGCCTAATATGTTACGTGTCTGACCAATCGGTCGAATGGTCAACTGCTCGAACAGTCGCTATGGAGCACACTGACCACCAGGGGGCTGCCGCTCTGACCGGTAGGTTAGCTTGCTGTTGGGGTCGGGCCGATCGAGACTGCGACATGTGCTGGACACACCCTGGAGACCTCCTGTGGTCCCTTCCCAGCTGGCCACCCCGATCGGGACTGGGAGAGATGGCCCCGAACGGCCCCGATCAACGGCCAGGCCAAGGGACCCCACCAGTGCACAAATTCGTGCACGGGCCTCTAGTTTTATAACATCTTCAAAGTGCTGAAAAATTCTATACCCACTGAAACTATCCTTCAAAAGTAAAGAAAAATAAAGATACTTTTAAACAATCTAAAACATAGAACTATTAAAGAAAGTAAAGATTATGTTACCTACAGATCTAAATTTGAAAATGCTAAAAGGCCTTCTTCAGGGAGAAGAAAGATGATGTAACTGAGATAGAGCATGGAAAAGTAAGATGGAATGAAGACCAACTCAAAAGGAAAATCTCAATTAACATTCTCTGTATAAAACAAGAATGGCGCGGCCAGCGTGGCCTGAGTGTTGACCTATGAACCAGGAGATCACGGTTTGATTCCCATTCAGGGCATATGCCCAGGTTATGGGCTCAATCCCCAGTGTGGGGCATGCAGGAGGTAGCCAATCAATGATTCCCTCTCATCACTGATGTTTCTATTTTTCTCCCCCTCTCCCTCTCTCTCTGAAATCAATATAAATATTTTTTTTAAAAATTAAATAAAACAAGAATGTCTTTTTGAGGCTAGAATATATATAGAACTAATATACATGACAGCAATAGTATATATAGCAGAAAGGGGTAATGAAGTTAATGTGAGCTAAGGCCTTGCATTGTCTGGGAGGATATTTGACTTTGAAAAGTCAAGAATGCATATCCTTTTTTAAAAAATATATTTCTTTATTGATTTTAGAGAGGAAGGGAGAAGAAGAGAGAAACATCAATGAGAGAGAATCATTGATCGGCTGCCTCCTGCACGCCCCCAATTGGGGATCGAGGCTGCAACCAGGCATGTGCCCTTGGCCAGAATCGAACCTGGGACCCTTCAGTCCAAAGGCTGATGCTCTATCCATTGAGCCAAGCCAGCTAGGGCAAGGATGCATGTTTTAAGCTCTAGGTAAACAGTGCATCTCAAAATGTGGTCCATGGACTAGTACTAATCCACATACAGTCCTCGGGTTACGTCGGATGCGACGTACGTCGTTTCGTGGTTACATCGCCATCTCCCATTTATTTATAAAAAAAAAAGTTCCGTCATTTCCACATATGTACATATGTGCTTTATGTTTTTTATTATTTATTTACCACAGTAAAGGTCAGGAATTATCTTTCTTTTAATTTTTTTTTATTGTTTCACTTCATTACTGCTGTGAATATGCTCCATGTGAGTGACGTAGGTGCTTATGTAGGTGGGTTCCGACTTACGGTGAAAATCGAGTTACCTCGGATTATGGATCTCCAACGTGACCCAAGGACCTACTGTACTCTTACTAGCTTACAATGAAAACAGGGAACTTGCACCCAAATGCCAATCACATAGATCACTAACTAAAGAACAGTATTTAATTCAGCTGACTTTTTTGAGGAGGGTGGGAAGGGGTAGGTAGCAAGACTTTCTCAATGAAGAAAACTGTGTTAACTTGCATTGTGGAAAAAGCCCTTTATCTTATTGTGTATGGGTAGATCCTAAGAACAAAATCCAATCAATCAAATGCTCTGATTATAAAGGATGGTGGAGAACACTGAATCCACTTAAAGGTAGAACTAAACTTAAATAAAGGAGATTTGCCAGGACAGCGTGGCTCAATGGCGGAGCATTGACCTATGAACCAGGAGGTCACAGTTCAATTCCCAGTTGGGGCACATGCCCAGATTGTGGGCTCGATCCCCAGTGTGGGGCATGCAGGAGGCAGCCCATCAATGATTCTCTCTCATCATTGATGTTTCTATCTCTCTCTCCCTCTCCCTTCCTCTCTGAAATCAATATTTTTAAAAAATAATAATAAATGGGAGGTTTAAGTTCTAGAACTGAATGTAAATAGAAATTTTGACACTGTAGAAATGATAACATAACAAATATCAGTATGCTCCCTCAGGAATCCCCAAAGTTATATTTTAAAAAATATTTGTTCATCTGTATGCTGAAATAAATAATAAAAGAATTCTTTCCAAAAACAAAAAATCAACAACCAAAAATTCTCAACAGACAATATGAAACCCTCAAGTAAAGGAGGAACTGGGAAACCCTTAGCTTGTCTGAGTCCTCATATCGATGACACAGATAACCCAAAGAGGTACACTGTTGCATCACTAATCACAGTCAATGTCAAGTGCATGATCTACCTACCGAATCAGCTGCCAAATGGTTATTTGAATTGGTGAACTCTGATACCAGCTCATCGGCTACTTCATTATACGACGTTGTGCCTTTCCGCTGAACTTTCTCACACACTTTCATTGAAAAATGTCTCAAGCCTTTTCCATTTTTATCTCCTTTTTTGCTTCGTTTACTAAAAGAGAAAAACAAATTTTTATACTCCATCATACTTACTTAGAGACTTCCTTTACAAAAGTATAACATAATGAAAAGACAGTAATTTGATTTTTGTTTCAAGTGGTAAGGTTTAATTGAATTAGAGATGAGGAAATGTTTTAAATTTAATTTTTACCTTAAAAGCCTAATAAAATATAAAGCTAGAGTGGTTCTCTTATGCACATCATCTATTTCTTCAACAAATATTTATTGACCAGTTATTTACTATTATGTGTCAGGCACTATTCTACATACTGGAAATAAATCCATGAGGAGAACAGATAAAAACTCTGCCCTCGTAGTTCATATATGGTCCATACTTACCTAATTATTTCAAGTTTGGTTAATGCCTAGGCCTAAACTTTGATAACTTAATCATTAAATTTTCAGGGGTTCAGTTTAGTTCTACTAAATTGAGTGGTTTAGTTCTGCTAATCTGAGTGCCAACTATATGCCCAGATTATAAAAGACATGTCAATTTAATATTTAATATTCAAACAGACTACACACACACACACACACACACACACACACACACACACCAGTTATGGGGGAGTCTAGGAAGATAGCAAGACAGCAGCATAGTTTTCAAACTCTCCAAATCCCCAGATAAAAACAGATAGAGCAACTAGACCTCATGACAACATTTACAACAAAATACAAACCTCATGACAATATTTACAACAAAACTAGATGACAGGGTATCCTCAACAAACCTCAGAACACAATACCAATGGCCAAGGCCCACATGGTAGTGAGCAGGATAAGAAATACTCAATGGGGCTGCATTTAATGGAAATCAGAACAGTAATCCCAAAATAGCCAATACGAATTTACTAGAAAGCACAGCAGGCCAATTTGAGAGCAGCAGTTGAAACGAGGAGTTTCACCCTCTTCAATACCAGCTGTGTGCAAGGAGCTAAAGAGGTCACAATAATCTATTTTGCATAACTCCCACAACTGATATTGAAGAGGAAATGACTAATATTGAAGAGAGGCAAAGAATATACTGACAATAGAGTTTCTGAAAAAAAAAATAAAAGGGAACAGATTCTAAACATTAAATGCTATAATAGAAGAAAGTGTTCATAAAATACAGTCAAACCTCGTTTCTCGAACATCTCCCATCTCCACCAAGTTGCTCGCAGAAAACATATCTAGGTTTTGGAACCAAACTTCGGTTCTCGAACTGACAACCCTTTCAAGCTGATACCTCAGCATGACAAAAAGAGACTCTCAGGCAACAAAGGAGAGAATGCTTTTGTTGCTGGGAAAATCACCAGAAGAGCACAATTTTAAAACATAAAGAGGCCATCAAGAGTGCTAATGTTGCTAAAGGGGTGAAAGAAACAATGATCACAGGCAACTGAAGAGGCAGAAAAACTTGATTTGGATAAACGAAAAGCAGTTCATTAGTGACTGCCATTTCGGAGGCAGTGATATATAAACAAGCAAAGATGCTGCATACTGAGCTGAAAGAGACCACGGGAGTGAGTGCTGAAAGTGAGTCCTATAAGGCTAGTAGGGGGTGGTTTTATTTTATTTACTTTAAGTCTTTATCCAGTTCTTAACTAGGACCTCATAACTGTTCTATAGGCACTCCAGTCCTTCCTAACATGGCCACCAAGGTGAACTTTCCACACGAAACCGGTCATGTCCCTATTCTGTTTATGTCACTGTTCTAAGTCATTTTATTTTGGAAAAGAATCCACCAATTCCCATTTGCTGTGTACATTTCCACACAAAACCCACTCTAGGCTGATTTGTCCTTAGTTTGGTGCATGGAGATACAAATGGCTAGTCACACATAAGTTAGTATCATTTGTACAAGTCAGGTGACAAAAGTAAATAAGAGTTGCTAAAAATAGGAGCACAGGAGTTATTTTGAAAAAAATATGTTGTGTATGGGGTTTTTAATTTATGCTAAGAACTGGATAATGGCTGAAAGTAAATAAAATTCTCAACTCAGTATTTATATACTTTTTAAAAGCCAGCAATAAAGCATGGTGTTGTTTTTCATGTAATTCTAGTATTTTTAAAAAGGGAGCAATAAAATAATCATAGGGTAGTTTGGCTAATTTGTCCTCTGTAGTCATACATGGATAATATTTAAAGAAAAAACTAAACACAGTCCTTAAATAGGAACAGCTAGATTTTTAAGTGCTAAACAACATACTCCTGAAACATAAATACAAGACCACATATAAAAGTTTTATAAGATTAGTTCAGTGTATGCATTGATAATAAACTTGAGAACTGTGGTTAAATGTCAACATTGGCCGAAGCCGGTTTGGCTCAGTGGATAGAGCGTTGGCCTGCGGACTGAAAGGTCCCAGGTTCAATTCCGGTCAAGGGCATGTGCCTGGGTTGCGGGCACATCCCCAGTGGGGGATGTGCAGGAGGCAGCTGATCGATGTTTCTCTCTCATCGATGTTTCTAACTCTCTATCTCTCTCCCTTCCTCTCTGTAAAAAATCAATAAAATATATTTAAAAAA